TTTTCTTCGTACCAAGTCTTCAAAATGCAGGGAGCGTTTTACACTGACGGCGCGTCTCGATTCTGATGAGCCGTGGTGCAGGCGCCTGTAGCCACGTGGGGCTGGCGTCCACGGAAGCGGACAGAGTGGCTCTAGGGCAGAGGCCGGCAAATCCAGCCTCTCTGTCTGCACAGCCCTGTGATCTAATGCGGTTTGTACGTGTTTCAACAGTTGAGGGAAAAAAATCAAAACGAGATATTTGGGACATGTGGAAATTATATAAAATCCAAATTTCTGAATTTAAATTCTGAAATTAAAAGTTTTATTTACAGCGTTCGCCACTCCTATTTGTTTAGAGGGTCTCTAAGTGCTTTCCTGCCACGGTGGCAGAGCTGAGCAGCTGCAACAAAGACTCTGGCACACAGAGCCGCGAACTCCTGCAGAGAAGTTTGTCAGCGGTGCCCTTAGACTAGCTGTACCCAACCTGGTCTCCAGGCACCTCCGTGGGGAAAACAAGCTGCACAGACCCAGCTCCACGGGGAGACGGACCTCCCGGCTGGTCGCCCTGGCTTTGTTGTATTTGGTAGTGTTTTGATAAACTGGATTGACTTCATTTCACGCTGCAGGTTCTGTTTCTTTTCTTTAAGGCTTTTATTGTTAAGTCCTAAGCAAAGAATCCTAGAGAAAAGGCCTTGAGGAGAGGCCCTGGCCAGGGTGGCCCTCGGGTGCCTGTGACAGTCGCCATCCTGGCAGCGGGCTACTCAGATGGGGAGGACGGTAGCCCTATAGAAGGGGCCTCGGTGACCTGGGTCTGTGGGCTGTTTTCAAGCTGTGAGCTACAAACAGTGCCCTCCCCCATAAACCCAGCCCCTCTGAGCCGGGCATTGGACGGGCATTAGCGGGCAGCAGCCCTCCGGTCGGCACCAGCCCGGGGCTCCTGGAGGAGGACTCCGACTCTCAGGCCCTCAGCAGGTGAGCCACCCAGCTGGGCCTGAGCCCCAGAGCACCCTTCTCTGGCGGACACCCATCTTGCCATCAGCCCTGGGGACACCCATGCACCGTGTGCCCACTCTGGGGCACAGGATCCCCTCGGTTCCCATAGCGAATCAGCAGCTGCGGAGGGCCCTGGCACACTAGGGGTTGACGGAGGCTGCGTCCTGAACCCGGGCTGGTGGAGTGGCGAGCCGGGCCGTACGGACAACCAACTGCTGGACAGGCAGGCGGGCGAACCCTCCCTGCATCCTCGGTGCCGCTGTCAGCTGCATGGCATCCCGGGACCGCCGCCAGCCTCAGTTTCCTCCTCTGTAAAGAGGATGCATTAGATGCTGTCACAGAGGGACAGAATGAGGGTTCTGGGGAACGAAGCACAGCAAGTGTTTTCCTGGCACATAGTGGGTGCTCGGGAAATACCGGGTCCCCTTGTCCTGTCTTTCCTTGGCTCCTTGACAGGTAGCAATTCATGGGGACAGAGCGAAATCATGCCGGGACCTAAGATCGAGAGTGCACAGTGTGGAGGTTCACTTACGCAAGGACCGCGCAGCGCGCGAGCGAGCGTTCTGGGGGAGTTGACAGCATGTTCTCACTGCCGCTATTCTGATTACTGTTAATGTCATCAAGCCAGGGCAGTGCGCCAACCTCCCGAAGAAGTTTACGGAAATGACTCGTGGAGAAAGCTGGGCCCTAGTGCAGAAGGTCTCCCTGCAAGGAGCCGTATATAACCAGGACACAGGGGTAGAAGAATCAGGTGAGCAGCCTCGTATTGTTTGCAGGGATGTGAACTTGATACCCAGAACCAGAAACTGGCCTGCGGGACCCACTCTGCCTTGCCCTCATTGCCAGCTTTTGAACATTTCTAATTAATACAGAACATTCCTAATTTGCTGCAAAATTAAGTTAGCAATCACCATGTGTGCCGTGGCGCTAGCTGGACGGTTTTTACCCACGCTGTTAGGCGGACGTGCTGCCCTCACGATGTTCCAGAGGCCTTGCTGAGGGTTGTAGCCAGTGAAGTCCCTGCAAGGATGGGACACGGTGAGCACGCTGCCTGAGGACAGCCTTATTTATGCTCTTGCAGAGTGTGCAAGCGGCCTTGTTTGTCTGGACGGCCAGGGAGCGCGCTGGCTCGCATGGCACCCACGGTTCCACATTTAGAATTGTGTCTTCATTCACATTCTTTCCATGCAGCTCACGGCTCCTGGACTGGGAGAGAGTGGCCACTTTTCCTGGGCCAGCCACCTGGACAGATGCCAGCTCCAGGCCACGCAGACCCTGAGTCCCTGGTCTGGAGCCTGGGCTGAGCTCTCTGGCTGTGTTTTCTTGCTGAGGGTGGTCCGCACCAGTGTACCGCTGTAACTGGTGCAGACGTGGGGGTCTGTAGCACGGGACAGGTGGAGGCATTTTCCGGGAGAAATCAGATTCTGCAGGGGTCAGCAGTGCCCAGGCCAAGCTCTGAGGGCCACCTGCTCCCGGGACAGGCCCTTGCTGGGCCAACTGTGCTTTGTTATTCTCCCCTGATCCCTCCTGCTGACGCCATGGACAGTGCTGCCGGCTGCCACCCGGCCCCTTGAATGTTCCCTCGTCATCCTCATCTTCGAGGTGTTCCTTGCTCAATCAGCCACTCCCGGCAACACCATCAGCTCCTGCCACTGCTAGGGTCCCAAACAAGACGCGAGGTCGTGTTCTCCACCTGGGAAGCATCAAGAGCGGGCTGGGGGGGAAACTCGGGGACCCTGCTGAATCTTTGCGCTCACGTTACCCACGCCCCAAGGCGACCTCCTCCACAAAGTGAGACTCAGTAACGCAACGTCTCCTAACATCCGGGACAGAATGCTTGGGGTCAAACAGGTGACATATGAACTGGCTATACATTTATGTCAACAAGTAATAGGGAAAAAATTTAATATCGAATCCATGATTTCTCAGGTATTATTGTTTCCCATAAAGCTCTGTTCAAAATAAAAAAAAAAGCAAGTCGATTAAAATTTTCTTTAAAGAAAAATATGAAGTAAATGTTGATACAGATGGTTGAGGATGTGTCAAAAATCCTGAGAAAAATGGGGAAAAAATAACAAACAAATGACTAATATTTGGGAAGCTTCACAATATAGGAACATATGTGTGTACATGAGCTCCTCTGACCCTCAACCCACAGAGCACGGGCACGCTCTCCACCTCAGAGACGGGTAAACTGAGGTGCACAAAGGCTAAGTATTTGACCCGAGTCAGATGGCTAGGAAATATTGGAGCCAGGGCTCCAAGTCCTGGGTACTATTTTAAAATGTTGGCTCACGTCTTGATTTTTTTCATCTGCCAAGTTGGCTGGTGTTTGTTTTGACAAGCAGGGGATGTGGGTGGGTGGGTAAAATTGAGGGATTCACTTTTGGGCTCCCTCGAACCAGCTCTGAGTGTTGAGCAGTGAGCAGATATCCCTGAAGTGAGGTCCTGAAGCTCTCAGGGCGAAAGACAAGTCCCGAGGCTCCAGGCAGGGGGAGGGTCTGGACGCCCCAGCTGGCTGGGCTCTGACACCTCAGTCTGCAGGGCAATGAGGAGCTATTGTCTCTGACTCGGTTTGGGCAAAAGTGCACAGACCCTGGTCCCTGTGACGCTGGCCGCCAGCAGGCTCAAGGCTGGAGGTGGTGCCAGGCGCCGAGTTGGGGCTAGACAGAGGTTGCTGCCCTTGAGGAACCACGGGGTACAGAAGAGGCGGTCTGCAAATAGATCCAGAGACACAGTGCGCTACAGACTTCCAGGGGCTTTGAGCACTGCACAGAGCTGGGCACCCAGGGGGACAAGTCACCTCCGCTTTCTCAGGTCACAGGGCAGGGGAGCATGAGAAAGGCTCTTGGAAAGAAAGAAAAAGTCTTGCATTAAATCCTGGCAGTGAGCAGACTCTTACCAGGCCAGCTTGGGAGGGCAAGGAGGGCAACCCGGGAGCTGGCACGGCACGAGCAAAGGTATGGCAGGTGGAGGAAGTCTGGGGGTCTGTGGGCAGTGTGGGGAGCAGGTGACCCCGGGCCGAGACAGAAAGCAGCTATTGGGAAGGCAGGTACAAGCCCATCTCAGGGTTGTGGGGGCCAGCCCCTCCCAAAGATGGAAGGGGGAGCCCTTGCCTGGCAGAACGGGACTGGCCGCTGGACCTGGATCTTGCAAACAGCTCGCCGCGGCCGAGTCCACCGAGTGGACACTTACCTTGCCTCCTCCCCGACCGCTCCACATCCTTCCGCATCTCTCACCCTCAAACCCAGCCCGGCCTTCCCCAGGCCTGCAGCCGGGCACATTATTTTGCTCCAAAAGCACGGCAGAGTGTGGCTCCTTACGCGAGGAATGCAGGCTGTGGTCGTCCAGAGCCGATGATGAAACGGGCTATTTCTGCCCCGGGACATCAGCAGGCCTCCGGGCACTGGCTCCAGGGCACACACTCTCCTGTTTTGAATGTTTCCCCAAACAAACGTTTCCCTTCCCACCTTGGGATATTTTTATTTGACTCTAGGTGCTGGAATAGCTTTAGGAATCGTTCTGGGTTGACGCTGGAATCGTGGTTAGGGTCCAGGCAGGCGGCAGCAATTTCTCACTCCCAGAGTTATCTATTACTCGTGGCTGATCTGGATGTAAAAATAGCTGCTGAGGCTGTTTGTTTAATCTGACTGTTACTTGACACCACGCGGGTGTTGCAGCGGGACTGTTTGCCTCTTCCCCACCAAGAGCTCCATTTGGTCTCCCCCGGCTGGTCTCTATTTAGGTAAGCTTCTCGGGCTTCCAGCGTCTGGCAGGCTTCTGGGCACTGATTTTCCTCGGACGGGTAGGTTTGCGAGAAACAGGAGGCTTGGGGCTTGAATCCACTCTCCTCTCCTCTCCGGGCAGCCCAGCTAAGGAGGGAAGAAGTCTGGGCTGCTGGGCAGAGCTGGGTCTCTCGTTCCCGGGGCAGCCTGAAGAGCGAACGGCTGGGACCCGCAGAGTGGAAGGTACGGTCCGGACGCTTGTCTGGCTCCTTGGCGTGGGCAGGGAGGCCCACGCTCGTGGCGGCAGGGCCGCTCGGGCCGGGCCGGTGGTGTGCTGGGTGTCGTTCGGCGCCAGGGCACTGGGCAGGGTGGAGTGTGTGTGTCAAGGGTCACCGGAGCGGGGGTTCTCTGTGTGCTGGACGGGCCTCGTGGACCGTGTACAGAGGACGTGGTACATACACGCGAGACTGTGTCCTTACGTGTTGTCTGCCAGGGCGCTCTGTTCCCACACGGCTGAGTGAGAGCACGCCTATGGACGTGCCCAGGGCCCTGCATTGCCACACGGGGTGACCCCGTGGTCACAGGTTTTGAGGCTCTCTGGTCTCCCCCAGGTCTCGGCCTGGCAGGGTCATACGAGCTGTAACAGAGAAAGCTGGTGATTGGGACACTGTGGCTCATGGACTGTGAGCACGTGTGTCCCCAGAACAAACCCTCCACGGGCTGCCTGTTCCCACGCACCCCGGCAGGGCCCCAAGCAGACACCCGCAGGGTGGGCTTGACAACTCTAAAGTCATCTCTCTTCTTTTTTTTCTGGTGGAGAAGAATTGGTCATTGGTTGAGAAGAGCAGTGCTGACTGTGTGTGGAAAGCTAGAAAGGAGAATTACTATTCAGGACTTTAAAACACCTCCCTCAGCGTAGGAACCCGGAGAGCAGATTAAACAAACGTGCACGTTAAATGAGGCCCGGCTGTCCAGCGTTGGAGCTCCCTGTACGGTAGCAGTTGGTGAACTACAGCCTGTAGGCTGGGGGCTGGTTTTATAAATAAAGTTTTATTGGCACACAGCCACGATCGTTCGTTTGCACACTGTCTGTGGCTGCTTTCGCCCTGCACCAGCAGAGACCACATGGCCTGCAAAACTGAAAACATTTACCATGTGGCCCCTCACAGAAAAAGTTTGCTGACCCCTGCAGTACAAGAACATTTCTTGACATGGGTCTATTTAATACAAAATGTATTAAAAAGCAGTGAAAGTTCTTGCTTAGAATAGGCTGTGGGCCAGCCACTTCAAGACCAGTGGCTGGCTGGACCAGCGCCTCCTGCCCCTTCCCTGGGCCCATTTTTCAGGTCTGGCTAGTGTAGGAAATGCCCAATTTGGTGTTGTGCTGCTGGGAGGGTTAGTTTAGCTGTGGAATCACCAGATACACAGCGTGTCCGTGTGGCCTGGGCTGAGCTGGGCAGATTGTGCTTATCAGGGTGGTTTATAAATAGCCATCTCTGGGTGACCAAGTCCAACATGCATCTGCCCCTGGGTCTTTGGGGTGGAACAATTGTGCCTGCTCTTGGGTGACCAGAAGCTCGTTGGGAAGGGAGCCACTGTGCACGCTGGGAAGAAGGGGTCTGGTGGAAAGCTGCGTTCTAGAAGCAGAAGAGCTTGGCTCCCCTGGAAACCCAGGGAGAGAGAACTATCTGAAGGAGACCGGGAAGGCCAGAGCCGGCTTTGTATCCTCTACCTCGATGCCTTTTCGCCAGGACACGGGCAAGTGTCTGCATTTTCTGCCTCTTCGCTCCTGGCCCTAAGGAAGCCCTGGAGACCCTCACTGAAGAGGGGAAGCCCCACATCTTGAAATAGCCCTATTCCTCCAGTCTCCGCCAGAGATCTCAGTAACTCAAACCTGCCGGTGCCAGGACTGGGCCGTCTTCCTCATTGGCTCTTGGGACTTCACTCCATCTGCCCAGGGAGGCAAAGGGCTGTAAGAGAAGGCCACCCTGCAAGCACACAGTGCACCCCAGCAGGGCACACAGAGGCCAGAGTGGGTCTAGGTTTTATGTTCATTTGAGGGTTTAAGCCCCATTTCACCAAACCCAGCCAGTCCAGAGCCCTTAACTCAATCTTACGTTTCATTTATTAATGGTTAGTTGGAAAAACCCAAACACGTCTTAATTTCTACTTGGTTCCAGGGGTTCATGACACAAGCTGGTGGGGTGCGGAGGGGGACGGGGACAGGGCCCAGCGGAGGCACAGTCAGGAAAGAGCCAGAGATGAGCGTGTGGAGCCCATGCTGGTGCTGAGACGTGTCACTGCAGCGTAAGTCACTCTGGAACACACCCTGGAGGGGCTGCGTGTGACGAGTACGGTGTGGGGGATACACGGCCTCCTGACGCCCAGGTGGAGGCACAGCAGCTCCTCTGCGGACCGCGGCTCTCAGGGGCAGCCCGGAGACGGCTTGGTGCAGGTGTCTTCCCCTCCGCGCCTGCGTGGGACGGCCTGGGGGGTGTGCCGGCAAGGGGTTCTGACGACCCGGATGGCTTTCTCCCCAGGACTTGAGAGACCTCCCTTAGTATGAAGGCAAGGGAGCTCCTTCCGGACCGTGGCATGTGACTGGGTGGGGCCTTCCTCGACGCCCTCCTTTCTCTGCATGGCGGATCCCTGACGCTCAGGGTCAGCCCAGTGGGACATGAGCCCGGCTCAGGCAGCCAGGACCCCAGAAAGGCTTCCACATCCCACGGAGGTGCCCACACGTGGCTTCCGCAGGACCCCAGGGGCTCCCTCGGACCTCCCCACTCTGGGCCCTCCTCCTTTGCCTCAGTTGTTCCGCCCTTCCCTGAGAGCCCCCGCAGGTGGGCTTGAGCCGCGAGGACCTGCGAGGCTGGGCTGCGGGCAGGACCCGTCTCTGCCTTAGCAGTCTGGGAACCCCCTTCCCCTGCCATCTCAAAGCCTCCGCCTGAAGCTCGAGGGGGCAGGGGAAAGAGGGCTCCTGGGTGGCTGAGGAGGCCTCTGACAGAGCTCCCGAGGCTGCCCCGCCCTCCCCCGCGTGTCTGGAGCCTGGTCTCAGACCTGACATGACCGAGCCCCGCCTGCAAGGGCCGGGTCACAGCTGGGTCACGGCGGAGCTGCTGCTCAACTTGCCCTGGCCTGAGGCCACAGACCCCAGCAGCACCACGAGCTTGTCCCCTCGCCTGGCCTGTCGGCCCCTCTCAGAGGCAGGTCAGGCCCAAGGCTGCAGAGGTCGGGCGGCCAGATCAGAGCCCCTTCCCTCCTGGCGGTGCTGGCTGTGGTCCTCCACGTGCAGAGCTTCGCTCTCCCTCACCAGCGTGGAGGTCTAGTGAGAGGCAGGGGCTGAGGTTGAGGGAGGTGAAGCAACTTGCCCAGGGATGCACCGTTAACAAGGGGCTGACATTTTAACTTGAGATCTGAGACCAAAGCCCAGGGCTTATCCTAACTGCTTCCCCATCCCCAGAACCCCCAACAGCACCCAGCAGATTCTAGAGGAAGGAGGCCATGCCACACGACAAAGGTCAAAATCCTCCTTAGAAGAGCCAAGCGAGTCCAGGGAGGCACACGGGCTTCACCCAGCTCCATAGACCTTCTAGAAGCTGCCCAAGGTGAAACCTGCTGGGGCTGCAAGACAGGCAAATCCATGCTCACAGGCCAGCTCTGCCATCTCTCAGTAAGCCTCAGGCCTCAGTTTCCTCCTCTGTAAAATGGGAATAATAACAGCTCCCACCTCAAAAGGTCCTGTGAGCATTAAATGAGCAAATGTATGAAAAGCACCAGGTACATGGTAGAAATACAAGAACTGCTTTCTCCACTCGATTGTCCTGTTTGGTGATATTTTTTCTGCTGCCTAAACTCCAGCTTGGGTCTGTACCTTTCAGAGGCCGCCAAGGAGAAAGCCCAGTGCTTCCGAGTCCAGCCGACCTGTGCTTTCTGCTCAGCCAGAGAGCAGCTGGCACCCACGGTGACCGCCAGGCGTTCACATGTCATGATTATCTCCCCTCTGTGCCAAAGAGGGTCACGGGTCTGAGCACCTTCAGTACTTAAGGTGGAGGCCTCGCCCTAGAGGGAAGTGATGTTCCCACCACACGGCAATGCCGCAGAGCCAGGTGCAGGACCAGGGCAGGCACAGCAAGAGCCATGGCCATTGACAGCCGTGAGACCCCAGCAGCCAAGGGGCCATGACTCATCAGTACAACCTCAGCTACTCGAGACCCGGAGCTCCTGGTTCAGGTGTGGTCTCAGGACCCGCGGGTGGGACCCAGCACTGTCTGTCCAGCCCTCAGGCCATTCTGAAAAGTAGGAAAGGAGAGGGCGACAAGGCTCTGGTGTTGTTCTCACACACAGCAGCGGGTGCTCCCAGCAGCTGTGTTTTTTGCATCAACACAGCCATGGGTTTAAATAACCGTGTTGCTGGAGGAGCATCTTTCAGCTTTAAATTCTAGAAGGATAACCTGGGTGGTCACTTCTGAACGCTCTTTCCTGCCATGAGGAATTCCGTGAAGAAGGAGGCTTGGTCAGCGTCTCCCGACTCTGTCCCCGCAGCAAGAGGCTCCTCCCCTGCCCTTCCCCTGGCTGAGCCCGCCTCACGATGCCCGGCGGGTTGGAGGAAAGATGGCAGTCACCTGCCATCTACTTCCCAGCCTCCTCCAGCAGGGACGCAGGCACAGCAGGCCTCTGACCTGGGCAGGAGGCTTAGGAATTCCCAGGGGCGCTGCACACACGGCTTCCTGGCATCCAGGGTGGGGTGTGGGCCCTGCAGGGGAGCCGGATCCTGCCTTCTCCGGCTTTACTAAAGCAGATGCTCCCTGGTGGGGCGAGAACGGCAGAGAGAGGTAGAAAAGAAGGTGCTAGGATAGGGGCTGCCAGCCCTCCTCACCTGCATGAACCCGGTGGCAGCTGGAAGACCACCCGTCTCCTGTCTCTCTGCTGTCACCGCATCCCACAGAGACCTGGGCCTGCATCCTGGCCCTGCTGCTCTTAGCTGTGTGACCTTGAACTCATTTCTCAACCTTTCTGACCT